TAACAGGGACCCCAGGTTATCCCCCCCCAGCACTGCAAAATGCATTTGTTTTTTGTTTTTTTCAGTTTTTTTTTTTTTTTTTTTTGCCCCGTTTTATTTTTGGTCAAGGTCTGCCTGTGCGAAGTGAGGGAAACTAGGGTTATTTATCCTTATTTTGGAGCGTATATGTGAGCTTTCAAGTGTATTTTACTATTTTGCAAATGATGGAAGGGCATTTTACTATTTTGCACATGCACAGAGTCCGACACGCATTTTACTGTTCTGCTTCAGGCACTCAAACCCAAACGGCCTTTGTGCCAGTGCTATTGAATTTTTTTTGAATTCATTCTTCCTCCTCCCCCTCCCCCTCCCCCTCCCCCTCCCCCCCGCCACCCTTTTTCAGACGGCCTTGAGATACCATCATTGAACTGACCGGCCCCAGGCAATTCAGAATGATTTTGTCCTGCCCATCGGATTGCACCAGGCGGTATACAAGTAGGTAGTAGTGGGCAGGCTTCGGGATCAGCTTCTTTTGTCCCCCGCCCAGCGGCTGCTGGTACAGGGCAGCCACATGTCCAGCAGCCTGTGCAACAGGTACTGCAGCCGCAGCAACCTGTCCCACCGGTTTCCCAACCGGTGCAGCAGGCACATGGTCCTGGACTATCAATGCAATGGACACCCCAGATACCATTGCTGACTCCCAAGCCTTTTCCCGGCGAAAAATGAAGAGGACCTTAGCGCTTGGGTAAAGACAGTGCCCACTTACATGAGGCACAAGCTCACAAGCCCGAGAAGGAAGTCGTCGTCGCTGCGTCATTTTTAGAAGGATCAGCAGCCAGATGGATAGACTGATTGGTACAGCAGTACGACTTCGGTCAGGACTTTGATGGCTGGGCACAGGCTTGGACATTGGAGGACAACACGGACATACTATGGCCTGTTGCAAGAGTATGTGAGTCAGGGGGAAGGTTACATCCTCTGTAGTGGTTGTAGGTCCTTACCCTCTCCACTTCGGATGTTGGCCGAGGCTCTTGACCCGCATATCGCCCCGCAGACAGATCCAAACCAATCGATACTCTGTTCGATGGACGTGTTTGAGTCCTTAGAGGAGTTAGAGACTGAATGGTTAGAGAAGGACCCTAGAGACTCCTAGGCGGCTGAAAAGTTGGTGCCTTCGTAAACGTAGGTCCTACGCGGAATTTCATCAGTCGTGCTTGTGTGGACAGGCTGCGCTTAGGGGACCAAGTGCAGCGGCTTAGCCAACAAGCACTCTATGGTTGTGACGGATTACATACAGGATGTAGTATGTACCTTCTCCTATGGAGGAGGGGAACTGAGACAAAAAATTTTGTTCTTAGTTAGCGATGAGTTGTCCTTTGAAATGCTGCTAGGTATGTATTACCTCGAGGTTGCTAAGCCTCAGTTCGATTGGGATCGGAAGGTGATGATGTACAAGTTGCCAATTGAAGCGCACATGCAACCATAGGACTCGGCTAGCCTGCTTGCTTTGTACTTCCAAGTACATAGCAAGCAGGCTAGTCGAGTCCTATGGTTGCATGTGCACTTTATTACAACCAGAATCGCGAGGAAAGTACATAGCAAGCAGGCTAGTCGAGTCCTATGGTTGCATGTGCACTTTATTACAACCAGAATCGCGAGGAAGGCATGTATCTAGTTTTTGTCTTTGAGAAAAGGGAGTCCGTAAGAACACCCCCAAAGATAGAAGCAATCGTCGCTCAATATCCAGACCTTTTTTGGGAGCCTAGGGACGTAGTTGAGAGGGAGATTGTCCACGCAATTGAAGTCATTTTAGGTCGCAAGGTACATAGAGGACGGATTATATAGGATGTCTCCTACAGAGTTAGATGAGCTTCGCCGGCAGCTCAAGGAGCTCACAGACAAGGGCTGGATGTACCTCCCCTTATGATACACCAGTTCTATTTTTTCCTAAGAAAGGGGGTACGTTGAGGATGTGCATTGACTATAGGGGCCTCAATGTCATCACAGTTAAGAATGCAGAGCCCCTACCATGCATCGAGGACCTCTTGGATCGAGTGCACGGATGCTGGTACTTCACAAAGATAGATCTGAAGTCCGGATACCTTCAGATTGCTATAAGGCCTGAGGATTAGCACGAAACCGCTTTTCAGACCACGTACGATTTGTACGAGTTTGTGGTGATGCCTTTTGGACTATACAATGCTCTTGGGACATTCCAGCAAGCAATGAATAGGATCTTTCATGACTCCTTAGCAAGTACCTGGACGATATTCTTGTCTTTAGTAGGAGTGTAGAGGAGCTCGCGGAGCATGTCAAGACGGGAACAACACCGGTACAAGGTAAACTCAGAGGAATGCGAATATGGTTGCACCAAGATCTTGTACTTGGGTCATGAACTTTCAGCGGATGGACTAAGGCCGGATGATGCCAAGGTGGCCAGCATACGCGACTGGCCAGACCTCAGTCTGTGATTGAGGTGACGTCTTTCTTGGGGATGACGGGCTACTACTACCCGTTATAGTACTATAGCTTCCTCACCGACGGACCTCACACACCTCAACACCCTGTGGAAGTGGACAGATGAATGCAAGGCAGCCTTCAAGAGACTCAAGTATGCGCTCACACACCATGAAGTCTTGAAGCTGCCCGATCCTGGGAAGCCTTTCATTGTGACCACACAGGCTAGCCAATATGGAATTGGCGCAGTCCTTGCTCAGCAGGAAGGGAAAAAGTTGAGGCCAATTGAGTACATGAACAAGAAGATGCCGTCTAAAAAACTAGCAAAGTCCACCTATGAGCGAGAGCTCTACGCCCTATACAAAGCAAGGGGGGG